TTGGAGACGCCAAAGTTCCACCCAGATGTAAAATGCTTTGTCGTCAAGCCCAAACAGTTCACAACTATCCGCCTTCATAACATCAGGCGACTATTTTCTAATCACCGCCATTTTTTTCTACCAACATCCGCTATTCAAATTGGGGATATGTGGTGAAAGGGACCCCGGGCCCGACTTCAATCCTATCAGCCCATGTTACGGCACAAGTAAACCTTTAAGTGTCTCCTCCTCGAGCAATTCAATGTAACTATTCGAAGTCGAATGCAATTACCCTCAATTGGCCCCACCGAAGTTCAAGTGGCGTCGCATTCCATATGCCACTGATCATGCAATTGAAGTGTAAACCTTTTATCTGATCACTCCTCATCACACAATGTAACAATGCCTAATTGCCACAGACTGCCCCGAGACGCCCAGATGATGGAGGGTGCATCCGAGATTAATGGCGTGTAGGCACACTTATACGCATCCTACAGCATACAGATGCATGTCTGCATGTATTTAGAGAGAAAGGGAAAGGCAGATGTTCGGGGGAGAAGGGGACAGAAGCAGGGGCGGAAGCAGAAGCCTCGACTACATGTCCGTCTTGAAGGCCGGGAGAAATTCGCTTGACAGAATTGACAAATATATGCGTGTCAAGTTGTCACATTTTTGTCGGCCCATCATGTCTGTGCATCTTGATGTAAGCCCTCTTCTGCCCGAGAGATCCAGAACTGATACCATGCGAGCCAACCTTGTTACATCCATTTATTCCGCCTTTAAGTCCAGAGGATTGGCCGAGAAAACTTGCCCAAGCCTGACACATTCGCCTCTTAACAGCAAAGTTGATCCATTCCACAATCGGCTGACTTCACATTTCGGTACCCTAAACTGATGTGGTCTCGAGACTCTGGGCTTTCTGGCTCTCAGGCTAAGCTGTTAACTGCGGAGGGCTAGGGAAAGTACGTTCACGTCATGGCGACCCGGTGCCACTTTCACATCGCACGTCTTATGTTTAGAATGTATGTAACTAAGGCAACTATCTTTATCCTGTTGCCAACATAACTATTTTCATCACCGAGTCTGTCAAGATTATACTTGGAATAGTTACTACTGATGTCAACTAATTAGGGCTTATTCATAATAATATGGACAGTTTGTCGACTCGAGATTGAAACTAGGCTTGTCTTATGAAAGAATTGGATAAAAATATTTTTCGTTTATAAATAGATTTTAGAGAATACCAGTATATATCTTATATAAGATGTACTAACTCTAGTTCGTTTAAGATGATGAAGGACTGGTAGTTGAATTTTCCCATAATGATATGAGTAGAACTGACGCTTCTATTTACTTTCACATAAACATTATTTAACAAAAGGAGTTCTCATCAAGGGAGGACTTTAGTTTCGAACTCGGCTAGGTCTTATCAGCACCTCAAGTGGGACTCGAACTATGACAAAGCTGAGTGTAATCTCAAAACGATAAAATCTACGCGAAAATGCCACGAGTGTCCTTGGATCACAGAGCAAATGTGATTTTTAAGGAAGGCCAAGCATTTTCCTATATCACATTCTTTGGTAGGATTGTTATATTTGCTATAATATTCGAATACATTACTGATTTTTCGTTTATAAGTAGGGTTTAGAGAATATATATAAAGGGAAAATAAGTACATAGTCGATTGTTATAGCAAATATAACTTTTATTCACCTAATGTCCCACCAAATAATGCGATATTGGAAGATGCCTGGCCTTCCTTTAAATTCACATCTGCTCTGCAACCCGAGGGCAGTCGGGCCAATGTGGAGCAATAATTAACGAATCGAGATTATAACCTGCTCTGTCATGTTTCGAGTCCCACGCGGGGTATTGATGAGACCT